ATATATATATATATATATAAATTACTGTAATGCTTAAGCCTTAACCATGTTTAAGCACATTGGGTTGGTTCTGGAATCAAGCTCATAAACAATGAGTTGAAGCTGAATGCTATGACCAACATAACATTTTTTTTATAAATGGAAAAAGGTATTGTATTACTGTACAGAGGGTGAAACTTGGAGAGACCCTCAGAATTTACAAAAATTCTCAACACTATGACAAGTACATAACATCAAAAAATCATTTGATTAACCAAGCCTATAATATTTGCATAGAACTCAAGACAATTTAACAGTACAATTTTTTGAGACATCAATAAACTCACAGCATGTCAATTTCACAAAAGGAGAAATTTTATGGACTGTGAACTGTCAAAAAAGGGGAAATTTTATGGACAACATTTTCATCAGGGTATGAATGCAGGACCAAAAACAAATCATCACCAAACCAGGCAAATAACATGGTGAAGAAAGCCTGAAGATTTATCATCACAAAGACTAAGACTAAAATACAATCTTGGTACCAACTGCCAATAAGATATACTGCAACTGGTACAGGTAGATGAGAATTGAGAACAGAAACCTCAAGCATGAGAGATGGCACGCATAAAAAATAACTTGAAACTGTACCGATAGAGTATAAATGCAAATTGAAGCCAGATATGAGTCAAAATAAAGCTTACAAAAGACTAATAGTCTATAATGTTCAAAAGCTAAAAATGGTTCACTGTGGTGATTACTTGACAATGAAATGCAAGACACTTACTTTCTTCTTTATCTTCCCACCAGGAAGTCGTTTTACTTCTTCTTGCTTAGATGTTGAGGTACCTCCTATAGCAACAGAAACAGATGTTCTTACACACTCACAAATATTTATAGAAAAGAAACCCAAATATTCTCCAGAATATGATTTCCCATTTCCCTATCCTGCACGTACTCCTGAAACCTCAAATTAGTTGCCAGTCCATATGTTTGTATATGAGAACTTGACATGGACATGGACTGACTCAAAGGGATTCTTCTTCTTTTCCAGGTCTACAGTAAGCAACTACAAACTACAAAGTCTTGAATTCTTAATCCAAATTAAGGAATGAATTGTAAATTTTTGATACTTAGAAAAATAATGCAATCAGTGTTATGAATAGTTTTAATTATTTAGTGTTGCTTGCATTGAATTCATCATCATCATCAATATCTAATACTTATCCCAACTATATGGGTTCAGTTACATAAATCTTGTTTTGCCATTTGGTTCTGTTTAGTGCCAGGGAATGCCCTAGCATGAGCATAAACCCTGTTGCTTGCATTGAATTATGTTTCTAAATTTAAAGTATTCTCTTTTACATCAATTATTGCCTTACATGCGCTTCCTGTCCTTTTTAATGAACTTTGGTTACTGTAGAGAACACTGATGTGGACCCCACTGCTGTGGTCCCCACTGTGTTCGTATGGCAGCACAGCATCTATTTTTTGTTTGTAATGTCAGTGTTAGTTGGTAGTTATTTCAGTTTGTTGTTACAGCTTGTTATTTCAGCTTTATTATTTGTTTATTTGCCATGAAAGCAATAAGGGCAATTCAGCCCTTTTACAATTAGTCAACATATAAATATTAAAAGTGGGTCGGCAGATCTGAATAATTCGACCCTCTCTCTCTTTTCTAAAAAAACCCTTCGTGTGTTTCTGCTTTTCTCCCTCTCTTCTTCTTCTTTTCTTCTTCTGAAACTCTTTTCTTTTACTTTCAAATTCAAGACTGATTGTAGTCTTGTTCAACTACTGTTACTTTCTCTCAAAAAAAAATATTGCCTTACATGAAATAGAAAAAGTAAACTCACCAAATCTCTGAAACATATTTTGTAAGGCTCAACAGATTGAGTCCAACACATCATGCCTGTATATCACAATGCAACATTTGTGCCCACATTTATGTGCAGTAGCAATACATACAGGATATTATGAAGCAAATCATGATAACAAGATAGAAGACACATTGAGTTTAAAATATCATCATCATAACCATCTAAGCCTCGTCCCAATTTATGGGGATTGAGATTAAATATAATTTCATAAAATTGATTTATGTCCATCCAGTGTCTTAAAAGGTGTGCCAAGGATCACATGCAAGACTCATGTTGTGTGGTGCCCTTTCTGACTTGTTGCTATATTTTGATGGATTAACCTTCACTTTGATGTTCTAATAGGTAGCATACCATATTATACATTGTAATATTATTTTACGAGTATAAACAATTTGGCCCATGTAGGACTTGAACCTACAACTTTACAATCTCCATGTTAACAACACAACACTCTATAACCAATTGAGCTAAAGAGATTTTGTTTCATTGAGAATTTAGATTTTCATACTGTTATATAATTCATAGGTGATACTTCACCTTCTTCAGGCACACACTTTGCCTTATATAATTCATAGGTGATAATTCCAGTGATTCTAGTCCTACCCCCGTCCTACCAGGTATGGGTGTCAATTCYTTTTTAGGTAYTGACTTRTYTGCTATGCCTGTAACAGATATTCCAGCTTCCCATCCAGGAGGTTCTGATGCAAGAGAGAGGGTGATAGTGGAAGGAGGAGAGAGGGTGTTGGAAGGAAGTAGTAAGGGGGAGGCGGACAGAATTTGGGAGTTGATCTGTACAATGATGGAGGAACTAAAAAAAAAGGAAGGATTCTTAGAAAGATGCTATAGCCAAAATAAGTGTGAGCAGGGAAAATTCTTCCTCAGACATTGGCTGAAAAGGATGGAGAAAAGAAAATTGATGATTGTTGTATTAGGAAGGTGGGGGGAGGAGGAACAAAGAAGAAAAAAAGATCTGAAGTGGAAAGGCTAATTTCAGACATTGAGGGGGATTTAGAATTCAGTGGTAGAGGGGATAGGAGGAAAGGCCTAAAATGAGGAGATTATGGCCTTTTCATGGGTTTTTTGCTATTTTGTCTCGATGAAAATTATTAGCTGGAATGTAAGAGGGTTAGGGAGTGCAAGAAAGAGAAGGGTGATCAAAGACCTACTCCGAAGGGAAAAACCCAATATTGTGCTATTACGAGAATCCAAAATGATGGAATTAGATGGGAGATGGGTGAGGAGTTTTTGGAGGCCTAGAGGTTTAGGTTGGAGCTCGTCTCCTTCTTGGGGAGCCTCGGGGGGGGATCGTAACACTTTGGAGGGAGGATGTGGTAGAAGTAGTGGAAGAATTGATAGGCAGATTCTCAGTTTCCATTAAGTGTAAGAATGTAGAGAATGGGTGTGCATGGGTCTTAACCAATGTTTATGGCCCTAATTCCTATAGAGAKAGGAATGAGATGTGGGAGGAACTATATGCAATCAAGGGGCTATGGGATGGCCCTTGGTGCCTGGGCGGGGATTTTAATGTCATTAGATTCTCTGATGAAACCAGTAATCCCCAACAGGTAATTACAACAAGCATGAGGAAATTTAATGGTTTTATTGAAGAATGTGAACTGAAGGAA